TGATGCCGTCGATGAATACGAGCCGGATACGATGAACAACTCAAGAACACATATCTACTATGCTCATGACTGGACCGAAGATCCTGTGCAACACGAGCCGTTGGAACGGGATGGATGTCACAATCAATTAATTGGTGATCTACTTCAGTGCAAGAGCCATACTGGCACATAAGCCGCCAAAGTGACTTGATTGAGCACCAGTGGGGATTGCAACAAGGTGAATATAATTAAAACAAAGTGTGTTTTTTTAAGTTTATGTAATTTTATTTAGTGTGTGTGTGTGTGTGTTTTTTTTTTAGTTCATTTGGTGAGGTTATGTAATTTTATTTGGTGTTTTTTTTAAGTTTATTTGGTGAGTTTATATAATCTTATTTAATGTGTTTAAATAAAGTACAAAAAATAAATTTGAAATTACATAAAGTATTAAAATAAATAAGAAATTACACAAAGTACTAATAATAAATAAGAAATTACATAAAGTACTACCAATAAATAAGAAATTACATAAAGTACTAAAAATAAATAAGAAATTACACAAAGTACTAAAAATAAATAAGAAATTATACAAAGTACTAAAAATAAATACGAAATTACACAAAGTACTAAAAATAAATATGAAATTACACAAAGTACTAAAAATAAATAAGAAATTACATAAAGTACTACAAATAAATAAGAAATTAAATAAAGTACTAAAAATAAATAAGAAATTATACAAAGTTTGAGGAGCTAGGATATGTGGTGCTGGGATCTTCATTGCTACGATCTGTGTAGCTAGAACCCTCTCGACTTGTTTCCTCATCCCTAGCACGCCTCCTTCGTACCATGTCTTGTTTTTTCGATGTTCAAAAATATTTAGAATTCGGAGACATCCCTACTACAGACTTATTCATAATGTCACGATCTACTTGAGCCGTCATTTCTTCTCTCAGCATTTGATTTTCTTGATTAAGTATTTCTCTTTGTCTCTCCTTAGCTACATTATGTCTCTCAGTAGCTGCTAATATTGCTACCATAGTTGCAGCTTTTGCCTCATCTCTAGCCACTTCCCGTGCAATGTTCAATTCACTATGGCGAGCAAGTTCGTCCATATATTTAGTGTAGTCATTTTTGGAAGAACTACCTTTATTCTTTGCGGCCTTTTTACCTTTAGGCCTGAGGGATTGACGAGTCGGCTAGGTCTCCAGCACTTCTTTAGGCGTCCCTTCCGTATCTTCAAATGTGCCGCCTTCTTGTTCGGTTGTGTCTGCTTTTGGTGAACTGTGTAGACCCATGCCATGCATGACAACTTCTAGACCGGTTGCCACAATTCTATATCTGGGGCAATCTTTGAGAATTTGCCAACATTCCCATTTGTTGAATGATTTGTTGTGGTTCTTCGCATTGTAGAATGCTTGTGCTTGTAGTGTCTATAAATGTGGGATAAGACAATATTATAAAATGTGGGTGTAACACAAATAAATAAATTAAAATATTGATGCGGGTGGAATACATATAAATAAATAAAAATATTGTCACCTGATTCGCTAAACTTGTCCCACTACTCAGATTACTGGAAGCATGAGAGATAGCGTTTTTCCAACAAGTAAAGGATGCGTTGAGTTTTTTCCAACAACCTTGACTACTTCTGGTGCCTTTTCCATGTACATCGCTTTCTCGCTTATCCATCTCATTACCCCTAATCGAGTCATAAGTAGTTTGAACCCAGCATTCACACAACATAGAATCTTCGATGAGCTTCCACGGGTCATTTTTCCATGAAAAATATACAAAACCTTTGGTTGAAAGTGTTGAAAATATTGAAATGTGGTGTAAGGTGGAAGATGATGGTTAATTATTTATAGAAAAAAATTTTAAAAAAATTAAAATTTTTTCTATATTTTAAAAAAAAATTTAATAATTTTTTATAATTTTTATTAACTTAATTAATATAGACCGTTGGATTTGAAAAAATTGAAATCCAACAGTCCAGATGTTGATACATGGACCAACAGTCATATTTCTGATCATTTGTTTGTTTGTTTTTTATTTTTTTTGGGAACGAAAAATGCCGACCGTTGATCTCGGATCGGACGACCCAACAATCGCCACGTCAACTAGTCGTTATGTTTGAATTTGAATTTTTTTTTTACCGTTGAAAATGCAACAGTCCAGAAAACTAGCTGTTGGAAATCCAACGCCCATAACGAGCCATGTGGGCACTCAAGGGTGCAAATTGGTGCGTTGCAATGGCGGGCCCTACGCCTTTTTTTTTTTTTTTTTTTTGTCGGGGATGCGCCCCCACTCAAGCGTGTATCACACGCGCCTGATGCAAAAAAAATTTCAATGGGATTTGACGTCAGGCTGAAGCAAGCCTGACGTCAGTTGGCCCGTCTCTTGGGTCTGTCGATTTTGGGCTGCCCTATGGCCTGGCTTGGGTTGGATGCCAGCCTATTAGGCTGGGGTGGAGCAAAAAAAGGGAGCCTGGTCCATTTTTCAAGCTGGGTGCTGCCCTATTGGTCCCCAGTGGACTTGCTCTCATGGTGGTGGTGGATTTGCGATGGCAACCCATCTGTTGTGGTGGAGGCATTTGTGTTTCGAATTTAGGGTTTTTGTTGTTGGGCTCTCTCTCTTTAGGTTATATGTTATATTTTCTTTTAGGCTATACTTTCATTTGGTTTGCTTTGAGCTTTCTATCTCTTGCATTAGCTTTGTTTTTGTTTTTGTTTTTTTTTAATTGTATTAGCTTTTTTTAATTAATGAAAGTTATCTAATTTGACCAAAATAAAAATAATTAATTCCCTTTTTTCTTAGTAGACATTGCTTTAGTGCTATGCAATTCAATGCAACATGTGGTTAACTGCATTGACTAATTGAAAGCCGATCTTCTGAGCATGCATTTTGACTTATTGTTAACATCTCACGAATGACATTGCTAGTGTTACATCCTGTTGATACTCAACCAAATAAGACATACAATAGAGAATGAGGAAAACCAATTGAAAATACAACTTACATAGTTTTATGATGCATATTGTGTTATGAAAATTTTCTTTTATTTATTTTGATTTCACAAAAGTGATTTGCTACCCGTCCATTTTTTTTTTTTAATTTAGTACCAGTTTGGGATTGCTGTGCTTTTTTCTAACAACTACTTCTATTGTGTTTGAAGAACATTCAGCTGCAAAAAAAAAAAAAAAACAATTAAGCGTTTGATAAATTGTATTTTTAAAAGTGTTATGAGTATGAAAAACAATGTAAAAACGTTTGATAAATTTTAATGTAAAAGTGATATAGTTGTGTATAATGATAAAAATGGACATGATAGTGTGGACGATGACAACGACAACGGTGGCGAGGGCATGATTGTGATGGTAGTGGTGGTGGTGCCAATAAAGAGGTGTGGTGGTTGGGCTACATAGGTAAAAATGGTGGTAGGGGGTAGCGACAACAATGATGGTGGCGGTGGTGGCATCAATGGTAGTGGTTGTGGTTGTAGTGGTGGCGGGCATGGTTGTGGTGGTGGTGGTCTGGCGGTGAGATTGTGGTGTGGTGGTGGTGGAAACAATAGTGGTGGTAATGACAATGGTGGTGTAAGAGGTTAGGGTTTGTAGTGGTAGGTGATGGTAGTCACTTTGTTTTTCAAGGATAAAATGTGTCTAAAAGAATTAGCAATGTAATTTTTCAAAATTAATGAGCATATTATAGAAATTAAAAATATTTATTTAATGTTCAACTCTGCTTTTTATTAAAGCAGTTTTAGAAAACAATTTATAGTCTGCTTTTAAACGTACCGTTTTCTTTTAAAAATTGTTGTCGGTAGGTCATTGATTTTAAAATAAACAAGATATTTTATTTTTACCGAACACTTTTACTGCTTAACTTTAAAGTGAACCAGCTTTTGGCGAAAAAAAAAAAAAAAAAAAACTGTACCTTATTCCAATCGTTTCTTTTTTCTTCTAACAAATTTTCACTACAGGGAAATTGGGGAGGCATAAGTTTTGTTAAAAATGAATTCCCTTTGCATGCACAGGGTATGAGATGATGATGTAAAATGTATATGTAAAAATAATTTCTCACATTTGTATCAAAATAAAAAAAAAAAAATTTCTTGCCGTGGAAAATCCCCCAGTACTTATGGTGATAAAGCATTACATAAAACAATAATGATAATAATTTCTTGCATTTTTTTTTTTCCTAATTAAGACTTGACTTCTGGTGGTGAGAGCTGGATATGTATCACGTTAATTTTATGTTAATGCATTAGTAGGATGCTTTGTTTGCAATTCCTCTCTCGGTTTCTGCATTCTTCTTTAATGCATTAAGTGGCGAGTTTCTCTTCAACTTGGGCAATGACTGAACTAGATGGTATTGGTATCAAAGAAGAAAAAGGGAACGTTCAATCCCCCCAGTAATACCGAGGTCGGTTCACTTGCGTTGAGCAATTGGAGCTTAGATTGTTTTTCATAGCGGGTTCAAATTGAAACAAACGAAAACAGTCACGCCGAAAAATTAGTCAGCGGGGGCTCCAACAAAGAAAATTAGTCAGTCGAAGGGTTTGATCAGTTCTTGGTTATAAGAAGTTTTTGACAGAGTTTGATCAGTTATCATTTTATATTTGTATTATTAGTCAGTCGAAGGTAGTTTGAATTTGAACACCTGTGACGGTAAGTCTGGAGCAGCTTTGTACTGAGCAGTGCCTTTTGTTTGGTTCAGTTCGGTTCAGTTTTCATTATGTTTTTGTTAAAACCGAACCAAATCAACCATCAATTTTTTCTTTTTGTTGAACCATGAATCTAGGGTTAAATCGATGCAATTTGGACCGTGCTATGAAAAAGGCCTGTAAACATTTCCTAATGTTTCTGAGCAACCAAACAGAAGGATTATTTTCCTTTCCTTTTTTTTAGAAGAAATTGCTACGATGCTATCTTTTGGTTAACTGTGATGACTTATTCTATAGGGGCAGGAAAACAGAGAAGTAAACATTGTAGTGGGGAGTATAGAAGCACATAACATAATAGAAAATGAACATGTAAGAGAAATGAATCCTATATAGGATGTGATAGCAATAAATCTAACACAATGACCCTTTGAAACATCTTATTTCCCTCAATCCTAAGCCTGTTTCCCCATTCTTTTTCGAAAGTCACCCTCGTAACTGAAACTTAAGAACTACCAAATTTAAAAAATAAAAATAATGAAAGAACATACGGAGAGTTACATGATCAAAGGGTAAATAAGTTTGCTATCACTGCTGCTTGGCCTTGCCACAAAGCAACGCGTTCAAAGGCATATCGTTCTCAGTATAAACGCTGCGTTCATTGTTCCAAACTCTGATGTATAATTGCTGCCCCAAGTACCTCTTAGACCAGATTGCAGATCTTAAATTCCACATTCCCTTGTTGTCCAAAGAGACTAGCACAGCAGTCCAACCAAGTGGATATACCTGTAAGTTGTGTACACCAATTAACGTTGATCAATATAGAACGATAAAATCTCAGAAAGTACGCATAAACTGGATGAGGTTAAGTTCCTGTCAATTACCTGAACTGTGTGTCTCGGTACAGCATCGTCCAAATTGTAACCTCTCGTCATATTTAGTGTCCATTTAGCAGCAGAGCCATATCTGTGAAGACCAACAAATATTATTAGACAAATTGTTACAAAAATATGATGTCTAGGCAATAATTTGTTATACATATGACAATTGGTCATAGACCTTACCCAACAACATAGGCGCTGTATCCATCCAGGTGCCAAGATTGAAGTTTCGGCTCGGTGTTCTGGAAGACGATTTCCACAAAATCATGAAGGGCAGTTCCTATGACAGAGGCGCCATATACTGCAGGGCCTGGAGTAGGTGTGTCCTGTATCGTGTTGAGGTTAAACACGCCGGAGATGTTAAGCCAATCAGCGAGCTGCAATGGGGTCTCCGGATCAACATTGGAGACATTGTTTACGGCATATCGAAGCATTCCATCAATCTTAGTAGCAGTATTGGCCAAAAGTAGTCTCCTGACAACTGGAATAGTTCCATAATGGAATGAGCCCTGTGGGTTAGGCCTGGCTGCATTTGCAGTCAAATTCAATCTTCAAGTACAAGAAAGGAAAAAAAGTTAATTCCACATATAATTAAAAAATCATTAGACAATAATGCTAGGCTCACCAAATTTGATTGCCAAATTAGATACTCAAACACTGTCACATCATTTGGTGAACAAACTTTATTCGCCAACTATATATATGCTTCCGAAAATGGAAATAGAAAACTCCCTAGTAAGTGATTGCTACCTGATTGTCCTGGCTTGCTTCATAGACCAGTGAATCTGATAGGTTGGACCAATTGGCAATGGTTTTGAAGCAGGGGTGTTAGAACCAGCGTAGCGGAGATATCCAGTGGTCGTGAGGACTGGCTTTATGAATCGGGTAGAGGCAACGATGTAATAGTCCTTGACTGAACCGTATAGCGTGACCAAAACAGCCACGGATTGACCTGGATGAATGTCAAGTGATTCATACACCTCTTGCAAGGTATTAGCTCCTTCCACTTCAACAAGTGTCATTGTATGGTTCTGAATCCTGAAGTTAATTGAAGTTTCTATGCCCACATTTGAAACCTTGAACTTGTAGGTCTTTCCTGAAATAACCCAACAGAACTTTGATTACAAAATCTTCAAAAACAGATATGGTATACAAACACTTTTGAGAAGGGCTAATGCATACCCTTTTCGCCAGTAAAGACTGTATTTTCAGGAAGCCCGTTGATAAGAACACCATCAGGAAGTGGAAGATTTTTGCCAGAGTCCAATATTTGCTGCAATTCCTGAAAAAATAAGAGCATTTATCAGAAAGTTATTCTGTTATATGGTTGGCAACAATTACACTCCGAAGCTTTATGTTGCCAGCCTGTAAATATGGACCACTAACATGTCATGCTATATCCAAAAAAGAACATTTCCCTACTGCTAGCATCGACGCCTAAGAAAGAGTAAACGAAGTGAAGAATATCTGTTACTTTATGAATTACATGCCTTGTGGCCAGTCTTGTACCAGTCACCAACAAGCAGGGTAAACTCTCCGTCCGGAATAGGATACGGCACTGGAATGACCGACCTATTTGCAACATTGAAACCCCCAAAACCTCCAGCAGCTCTGTGCAGTTTAGTTGAAGGGAAGTAGGAGTAGGTTCCAATCTGATCTTTCGTTTGAAACTTGTATGTCCAGTTTGTGTTTGGAGGAATCGGGCATTGGGTTCCAAGCACTCCGTCTTGCCACGTGGTTTTTCGCTGTTGGATTCCGTTCCTGATTTCCCACAGCAAAAGAAATAAGTCCTATGACGAGCCGTGCATTTTAAATCTACAACCGTTACAACTGCCAATAAAAATCCTCACCATGTAATGAGGAAAGGCTCATCCAACATGTTAATCACGTCCACGATTATGTTGTCATTTGTCACAGCTTCAATATTTGGTCCAGGAAATTGACCATTAATAAGGATACCCTGCATAATTAACCACAATTACTAGATTAATTAAGCAGAAGTCATACATACAGAATTATATAACAACATTATCTTCATGAAGGATCAAAACGCCAAACCTTTTGAGGAACACCCAACGGAGAAATGGTTCCATATGTTACAGTCCATGTATAATACAAATATCGATCTTCTGCATCAATGATGCAGAAAGAACTCAAGCAAACAAAAATTCCGACGAAAAACGGCACGAAAGTGGTTGGCCTCATTGTGTCAGCTCCTATATGTAGTCCAAATTTCAGATTTCTGCACAAAAGAACAAGTTCAGGCAAAAGATACTAATTAGTACATATTGGCAAAAACTACACATTCAAACTTATGGAGTATGTACGTAGCTAGAAATTATGAAATACATACTCGAATTATTGTCAGTCCTTCCCCAAGAGAGATGAGGAAGATTGAAATGATGAAGTGCAAGTGTAGTAAATACACGTAGCTTTGTGGTTGAGCTGTGCAAGTTCAGAGATGGAAGGGATTATATATAACTGGCAAGTGGCAAGGGAAGGAAGCAGCCGTGAAGAGCCTAGAGGGGCAATGCCAACGTGGATATGCGGATCTACGCGAAGACCGATGAAAAATCGAGGTTCATTTGCGGCGCACTTCATGCACAAGCAGTCAGCTACCTGCGTATGCTACTATTTCACAACTCATGGCTTTAGCTCACACATAATCGATGATTAAGTATATTCATTATATGTGTATAGTAAGTATTTAGTGTAATACCTCTATGCTACAATTCATTTGATAGAGATAATTAATTGGGAGGTTTCCATCGATTTATTCCCAAACTTGTAAGTGCTATTTTCTACACTAAACTTTAGTTATCTTAATAAATTTTTACAAATAGCCAATTACGTCATACCTCGTCGTTAGATTACTCAACATTGCATCCTAAATTTCGCCAATATTTGTCACGTGAATAGTGTTGGAGCTAATAAAGAGGGTGAAAACTTCATTTTTTAACACCAGGATGAGTTGCAAATATAAATAGGTTTATAGATTAGACCTGCGCAATTTGAAGGAAAACATAATTGATTTGCATATGTGGATTTTAATAAAAGCGAAAAGTCATTGTAGCCTCTTAAGTGGTTCATAAGATATACACATGATGCATGAAAACTTTAAAAACATAAGGTTGCAGAGGGAGTTGACTATTTACAAATAGTTCATGAGTACATTAACTAAAATGAAATCATAATGAAAATTACTAAACATATATATATATATATATATATATATATATTTAATTTCTTAAATTATGTGAAAAACTGACCAACGAATGAATGCAATGTTATTTTTTAAACTTTTTGCTAGTGATGAAAATGTGTCGTGTACGTGAGGGTGGTGATGGTGGTTTGGACTTTGGACGCATGAATTCGTCGGTGGTGCGCGGTGGCGGGAAAGAAAGAAGAGATCAAGCGGGAGCTGCGCAGCTTAGAACGGATCCATCATTCGTATTAATTGCATTTAATATATGATCAGTTTACTTTTGGGATGATTATAATTATAATCTTAGGTTTCTTTGCCCGAATGGTCTTTGTGGAGTTGAATTATATGAGTTCTTAGATCTCTCACTCAGAAACCCCACATGATGATGAAAACAAGCAGAAAACCGAAGACAATGGAAGGGCAGAATGGTCAATTTCCACCATTGTCATCTGTTTCTTCACAGATCACAAGTCTCTGGCTTCTCATTTCCCGCCTTGTTGGCCGTTGACAGTTGACACAGGTGCAACCATGCAAGTTGAGCTTCATTTTCAAACCAATCTACACATTCTTGTTAGACGTTTTTAACTGAGACACTCGTCCTAATACGTGGTATTACTAATTTATTCATGTTACAACATGTGAGTTTAATTATTATTTATTAATATTATACCATAGATTTATTACTTATTAATATTATATCATAGGCCTATAACATATCAAGTATGTCAATAATTTATGTTATATAACATGAATTAGTAACACTGCGTACTCTTCGAATTGTTCTTGAGAGGTGAGAATAGGGCAACTCGTTTGAAATTTAGTTGATGCCATTCTCATCTTCAAGAACAAACCGACCTAAAGCTAAAAAATATTTCCGAGGTGGTATGGAGTGGATGTAGCAGAAGAGTACAAGATACAAACACTGCTGGTGGGAAGCTTCATCTTACTGAGACTAGGTGGGAAGCTACATCTTACTGAGACTAGGTATAGTGTATTGATCAAACGTATGTTTCTTACTTAAAAAAAAATACAAGTCAGCAGTAGCAGAAAATACGCGTATAAGGATGCTCTTTTCTTTGTGGCTCAAAATAAATAAATAAAGTGAAGATCCAACACACATTGATAACTTAGGACATTGAGAAGTATATCTTTATGACATTATTGGTTGTATTCTATCTATATTGTACAATGAGACTTACTACACATGAATAATGCTAGCTACCTTTTGTTTTGTTTAATTTAAATCCACAGTCAATTAACTACATTATTAATGCAAGTGTGAACACCCTCCATAGTACATGTGCTATACAGTCAATGAAAAGCTTTTTTGATGGGCAAGTCAACTTTTATAGTAGAATTGGCAATGGATCCCGAGGAGAGATCTCATAGGGAAAACAAGAACAACATCGTCCAGTATTTGTTAAATAATGAGTTTTGGGGCCAGGAATTAAATTACACATGTCACATGTAATCGAATTCAATTCCAGCACTCGTGAAGTTCAATTCTCATCATGTGGCCAATCCAGAATACGGGTTATAGTCTTTCTCTATCTAGTTGGTGTTAAGCTTTTTTTCATAACCAATCAGTATTAAGTCTCTCTCTCTCTTGGTGGCGGCAAAGCAGTTTAAGACCCCTCACATTGATAAGGTTATTAACCTGAAGAACTAAAGGAAACAATGGAAGCAGAGGGATTGACAAGCAAGAAAGATGAAGAGAAAAGCTTTGTATATTTCGAAGAACAACTATTACAATATGTAGTAAATGGTTCTCACAACAACCTTTTGTAGTAACTGATCTCTATTACAAAATAACTCAATTACCCTTTCGAACAACTTTATAATAACTTAATCCATTTAACTACTTAACCAATGATACAATGCCACATAGCTCAATCACATGATGTACATATGGTTAATACCCCCCCCCCCCCCCCTCTTTCAAAGGAAGCTGAGCTATTGAAGCTGTGTTTGTTGCAGAATTCAACCCCAATCCGTCTTCTGCAATGTTTGAGAAAAATTGGAATATGCAGTTCTTTTGTGAACACATTTGCTACTTGATCATCTGTTGGAATGTAGTGAACCATAAGATCTCCTTTTTGAACCTTTTCACACACGAAATGAAAGTTAGTATTGAGATATTTTATTTTGGAGTGAAAAACAAGATTTGAAGTCAGTGCCAAAGCTGATAAATTGTCCCAATATAAAGAAGGTGGTACTGATATGTGTTGATGAATGTCCTTGAACACTGAACAAATCCAAAAGACATCAGCTGCACAATGAGCTAAGGCTTTGTATTCAGCCTTATTGAAGTTCTAGACATAGTGGATTGTTTCTTTGACCGCCATGAGATTGGATTTGCTCCTAGATATACAACAAAACCTGTAATTGATCTTCTGGTGTTAATGTCAGTTGCCTAATTCGAGTCTGAGTAAGCAGTGAGATTGAAATCCTTGTTCATTATATACTGTAGACCATACTCAATAGTACCTTGTATATATCTCAAGATTCTCTTTACCAAAAACATATGTACATCAGTTGGTTGTGTCATGAATTGAAAAACCATTTTCACTGAATGAGCAATATCATGCCTTCTAATTGATGCAATGAAGTATTGTTATTCATCCCATTAGTCTCAGATATCACTTGATTATCATCACTTATTGGAGAAAATATTGTTGTCATAGAATGGGATAGTGAACTCTGTGGCCCTGCATGTTTTTCACTTTGCTATCTATTTGAAATTGGTATAGGTATGATGACAAGTAAAGATCTTCGTTCATCATGTCTAAGCGTCATCCCATTACTTCCATAGCTGACCATTTTTGCAGGAAACAAAGATTCATTAAAACACATAGGTTTGGATATGATAAATTTCTTGGTTTGTATATTACAGTAGATAACCCCTTTATTGCACTGTGAATATCCCAAAAAGACACACATCACTAACCTTGGTTATAATTTGTTCACATTGTATGGTTTTAACCATGGGAAAACAACTAAACCAAAGATCTTTAGTGACATTATATCAAGTGCTTTCTTATATAGAGTCAAATAAGATGAATTGAAAGACAAGCTTTTGCAAGGCATCTTGTTTATCAATAGCACTGAACGAGCACATGCAAAATACCATAACTCAGAGGGCAAACTAGCAGCAGTAAGAAGAGTGATTGCAGTTTCCAGAATGTGCCTATGTTTCCTTTTTACAACTCCATTATGTTGAGAAGTGTAAGGACAAGATATTAATTGGAAGATACCCTTCTCAACAAGAAAAGAAGTAAAACACTTGCTTGTATATTCACCCCTCCATCTATTTCTAAAGACTCGACTGATGTACCAAATTGGGTAAGAATAAATTTGTAGAACTTGACAAATATTGTAAACACATTAGATTTATTGCTCATAGGAAAAATCCAAACATATCTTGTATATTTATCCACAAATGTTACATAGTATCTATATCCTTTTAGAGATTTTACAGGTGATGGGCCCCAGATATCAATGTACACTATTTAAAAGGAAATGTACATCTATCAATTCTAACTAAAAAGGGAGTCCTAGACATCTTGCCTTCAATGCAAAAATAGAAACACTATGCGTATTATCTGATTGAACTAAAATATTAGATTGTTTCAACATTGAAGCCATTATATCATGAGCTAGATGTCTTAGCCTTTGATGCTAGACATTATTCTTCACTACTTTACCTAAATATACTGCTGGATCCTTTGTAATGAACTATGAACCTCTTGTATTTGTAACGACAAGGATCTGGAATAACTCTTCAGGCTTACTCTTTCCTTAACTTTTCAAGCCTACTCTTCTCTTTCCTTGGTACATTATCTCCCTTGTCTTCTTATCCAGCATAAACAATTCAGATTCATCACATAGAAACCAACTTTTGTTGTCAGCGCACAAATGTTTCACAAAGAGTACACTTCTAGCAATGTTAGGTACATGTAGAACTTTACTAAGAATCAAAGAGTGTAGGAGTCTGAAGTTT